TTTCACCACTTGGACATCTGGAAATAACATAGTTGACAACTTTATTCAACAATGTCAAATGAAATCATCTCTGCCAAACTATATTTTAGAATGGGTACCTTTTGAGCAATTTTATGTTATAACAAAGTTGACAGAAGGTGGATTTAGTTCAATTTATACTGCTACATGGATAAGGGGACAAATAGTTGATTATGATGAAAATAAAAAGGAATTTAGTTATTTTGGAGCACAAAGAGTGGTATTAAAAAGTTTAAATGATTCAAGTAATCCAGGAAAAGCATTTTTTGATGAGGTTGGTAGTTGTCATTTAAAACAAAATAAACAATACTATATTATATAATACTAATTGATTTTATTTATTTTCAGGCAATAAATTATCGTAAAATTAGAACAGGGATGATTGTTAGTTGCTTTGGTATAACTAAATTCCCAGATAATGGAAATTATGCAATAATTTTAAATTATTTAGAGGGAAATTTAAGGGATTATTTACAAAAAAATAATCATAATTTAACATTAAAAGACAGAATTGCAATCTTTAATTATGTATGTTATGCATTAAATGATATACATCAGGAAAATTTAATCCATTGTGATTAACATAGTGGTAATATACTTGTGCAAGGAGGTAATTGTTTTATCACAGATTTGGGATTATGTGGACCAGTTGATGAAAAATCATCAAATAAGGTCTATGGAATTGTATCATATGTTGCACCCGAAGTACTTAGAGGCAAAAAGAACACCAAAGAATCAGATATTTATAGTGTTGGGATGTTAATGTGGGAAATATTTGCAGGTCATCCACCATTTGACAACAGAGCTCACAATCATCGTTTGATTTTTGATATATGTGCAAAAGGTTCACGACCACAAATACTGCCTGGAATGCCTGATTATTATGTGCAAATGATGCAGAAGTGTTGGGATGTGGATCCATCAAAAAGACCAACGAGTAGCGAACTTTATGATTTTGCTGAAAATAAACATGAGGAAATTATTAAAAATAATAATGATAATGATACTACTAGTAGTGGTAGTGATTCGCAGCAAGTACACGAATCACATCCAGATGCATATCATAAAAGTAGAATCTTAGATGACGAAATTGCCAAATCTAAAGCTTGAAAATTTATACAAGTAATGACAGCTCATTAAATAGCCTTGATTTTAACTCTTTTCTCTTAAATGTTGAAGGTGAATAAAAATTTCATTATTAATTAATTGAAACTTACTATCCATTAATTATTACTAACAATATTTTTTATTTACATTTAACTGCATTGGATTCTAACAATTAAAAGAAGAAATTGATGAATGACTGACTAATTTAATCTCCTAAATTATTTGTTATAATTATTTATACTTTTTATTTTATTTCTTAAAGCTAAATTATTTTGAAATAATAAACTTTTCACAGTTTTTGATTCTTGTTAAATGTTGATATTGATAAGTATCATTTCAGTTGATGCCGATTGTTTAACAAGTATAGCTTAACTTTTGGCAGTTAATTGCAAGCAAATAATTCGGTGCCTGTCAATTAATTAGTTTACAAATTTACTTTGGTTCTCGATTACTGCACCTAGACGAATCTGTAAATACACTTAATGATACCAGATAATTGTAAATAAATAAAGAAGGCTTTTTGCAAAGTTCAAGGGTCTCGATTTATTTCATTGGCCGATTGCAAACTCGCTTTGGTTTTACTTGCAAAACAACTTAAGTAGCTTGTTTAACAGCCTTACATTTACAATTACAATAATACTATCAAGATTTCCGATTAACCTATGGACGATACTTTATTAACACCCACCAGTTAATCCCAACTCACTAAAGCAAATCATGTTACTCGTCAAAACAAATAAAACGTGGATTTTTACCAAAGATCCATAATCGTTACTTTCTGCCAAAAAAACTACACTTGTTGCTTTTATTAAAGCGCTTTAGACAAAGAAATAAAAACAACGTTTTATTTTTATTTTATTTTTAAAAGCTTAATAAAAATAATGATCCTATCACAAAGTTTTATTCATCAGAATGTTAATTATCTATTATTTTCCTCTGCGAGGACTAGAAGTTGTTCACTACAATAAAGATAAATTAAAGGTTTATTATTGCAAAGTAACTTGGTCAATATTATAAAACTTCCATAATTATTTACACCTTGGAACATAATAATAAGACACACAATTCTTCGAATCCTTAATCAATGGTATTCAACAAAAGAAAAATTTAGAGATTGGAATGCAAAAAAAAATAAAAAATTGAATATATATTATATGATTTTTTTCTGATCCTTTTATATTTTTTATTAGCCTTTAACGCAATTTTGCTTACGTCAAATGTTTTTGCTCGCGCCATTTTTGACTTAATGGCAGCGAATTTGACATAACAGTATTATAACTTTGGTATCATTTCGTCAAACAACAATAATAGAGCTTCACATAAGTCACTGTCATGTGAATGCTTAATATATAATCTTTATATTTGCCTTTCGGGTTTGCTTTTTTATTTATGAAATAAAAATGTTGCCTAGAGCAACAAAATTTGTTTTCATCACTACATGTTTTCATAAGAATGTCCACTATTGCTTGCGGATAGCATGATATTACCTTTTAGTCCATTCTTTCTATTATGTTCCGTGAAGATTTGCGATTCGAAGTCATTTAAACTGGTAAATGGAAATTCATTAGAGTTAGAGAAAATTTAATTATTAGTATTTTTATTTTCAAATACATCGTTGTATTTTTATTTCACAAAGCATCAAAAAATAAATAAAGTCGCGTGACGTTTATATTAATATTAATAATAAGAAAACAATAAATAAAATAGAACGATTTTATTAAAAATTTGCCTTTCAATTGTTGCTTTAATAATCTTGGTTTATTGTAATAACTGAAATAACGCGGAAATAAACATTGTTCTATCAACACATCCTATCAATATTTTTAAGGGTATATACGAAAATTATAAGTATTCTTTAGATAATAAATTTACAGTGACAAACACTCATTGATCAAGATATTTATTGGCACTTACGATTTTATCAATTCTATCAAGTTTTGTTGTAATACAAAACGTGATTTTTTTTTAATAAAAATTTTTTATAATAATCGGAAACAAAAATGAAAGACTGA